GGCACCAGTAACGTCTCATTGTGAGGCTTGTCGTTACTGTGTCTGGCATATCAAATACAGCGCGGGAGCGTGCCAGGCTCTGTCGTGGGGGCGGGATACTCTCGGGAGCATGCTGGGCTCTCCGAGGGGGGCGGAGGAATTGAACCCAGGCTGGCCAGGCCGGCTGTGTGCAAGGCAAACGCCCTACCTGCTGTGCTATTGCTCCAGCCGGGGGCGGGGTGGGAGGTGGGTGGAGGGGAGAAGGGGCGTTCGGGCGGAAGCGTCCCCTCCCAGGACAGCAGAGGGACTCACCGGTCAGCAGGGGGCCGTGGGACACGGAGGGGTCCAGGAGGAGGACGGGCTCCAGGCCGGGGAGCAGGAAGAGGGGCGCAGGGGGGCTCCCCAGGACGGGTCCTCGGGGGCCCGGAGTCAGGTGGGTCCTGAGGTCACCGTCAGCCTGGGGAGAGGCGGGAGCAGTCACGGGCGAAGGCGCCGCGGGGGGGGGGGGGGGGGGAGGAGAAGGAGAAGGAGGAGGAGGAGGAGGAGAGGAGGAGGAGGAGGAGGAGGAGGAGGAGGAGGAGGAGGAGGCGGAGGCGGAGAAGCGAGCGGGCGGGAAGGCGCCTCAGCCACTCACCCTGGCGGGCGCAGGCAGCCCCAGCGTGATTGCAGGCAGCAGGGCGAAGGGGGCCCGAGAGGTCTCCTGCAGCCGTGGCCGCTGGCCCGAGAGCGCCTGCCGTGGGGAGCGGGGCAGGGTCACTGGTCCCAGACGGCCACCGGGCCGGGGCCACTAGCTGAGGGGAAGGCCGGGCCCCAGACCTGTCCCAGGTGCGCCCAGCGGCGAGGCCTTACCTCGGAGCCCAGGACGGGGTGGGGGCCGTGCTTGCTGTCACTGGGGGAGCTGCACCCTGAGGTGGGCGTGCTGCTACTACTCGGGGAGGACTCTGGGGGGTCGGGGAGAGACGGAGTGCAGTCAGGGCCTGCCTGCCCCCCCCCCAGCAAGCTCCTCCCCGGCGGGCGAAGGCGGCCACCCGTCGGGGCCCCTGCCCCGGGGGCCCTCACCTCCCAGGGTGTCAGGGGGCCGCCGGCGGAGGTGGAGGTTGGACGGGGCGCTCCCCTTCCTGCGCAGCGGGTTCTTCCTCCCCTCCGGAAGCTTCTTGGGCTTGCAGCGCAGCTTCACGTTGGGCTCAGAGACTGCGGGGGGGGGGGGGGGGCACTGGGGTGACTGGCCCATTTTGCCCCGGGCCTCCGAGTCACGGCAAGGGACAAGGACGGCAGAGCCAGAGGGAAAGCGCCACCTCCCGCCCCACACGCCCACCCTTCCGCAGCTCACTTGTCTTCCTCAGAGGTAAGTGCTCCGGGGGGTCGCTGGACAGGCCCGGCACAGGGGGCAGGAAGCTGCCAAGCACGGGGCAGGGGGCTCCGTCCGTCTCCAGGGGCTTGGAGGCTCTAGGGAGCGAGGGTCAAGGCTGCTTTGGAGGGCTGAGATGCTGGGGGGCTGGCGGGGGTGGGCTCAGCTCTGGGTGGCAGCACCGCCCCCCCGCCCCTGCAGGGGGTCTCTCACGGGGAAGCAGGGCCCTGGGGGTTTGCGGGTCGGAACTCTGTCTCCCATGCAGGGCACCCGCTGACCACCCAACCTGTCCACCCAGCTGGGAGGGGGGGCTTCTGCACTTCGAGGACATGAGGAGGAGACTGGGCCAGAGCCTGGGCAGCAGGCGGGGCCCTTCGATCCCCGGCACCCCAAAAAGTCCCCCGAGCCCTCAGCACCGGGAGGTGTGTCCCAAAAACAAACGGGGGGGGCTGGGTGGAAGACTGTGTGTGTGTGTGTGTGTGTGTGTGTGTGCGCGCGCGCGCACGTGTGACCCTGCGTGTCTTAAGATGCATGTGCACGTGCGTGTGCTTGTACATGGTCAGGCAGTGTCTCAGGAGTGGGGAGAGACCGAGAAACGAGGCGGGTGGCCCCGGGAGGCGCAGAGTGGACGGGGCCTCACCTGTAGGGCACGGCTGTCTCCAGGGCCGCCTGCTGCTTCTTGAGGATCACCTCCGCCAGCTTCTGCCGGACCTCCCTGCTGGCCACGGCGCCTGCAGGGCCGAGGAGGAGCAGCAGAGTGGGTCTGGAGGGTGGGGGGGGCTTCCCTGTCCCACCCCCCCGAGAACCAGCAGGCCTCCCGGGACCCCGCCCAGGGACCCCCGCGCCCCCAGCCTTACTCCACTTGCTCTTGTCCTTGTCGAGAAGCTGCCGCACCTCTGGCTCTGGGTGGCCCGGCAACTCGGGCATCGATGCGTCCATGGGAAGCTGCGGGCAGGGCTGCCGCCCGGGGAGGAGTGAGGGGTTGAGGACGGGGAGGCTGGGGGCGGGGGGCGCTCCCCGAGGAGCCGGAGCGTCACCTGGTGCTGCAGGCCCGCCAGGAAGAGGCGCAGGGGCAGGGGCTGCTGCAGGGACAGCAGGCTGCGCTCCGGCGGGGGCTCCACCGCGGGCCGCGGGCCCACCTGCAGGTCCATGGGCCGGGGCTGAGGGCCAGGCGTGGGTGCTCGGGGCCGAGGCAACCTGCAGGCGCACATAGAGGGCCGGGTCAGCGGGGAGTCAGCCGCAGGACCCCCACGGCCCCCTGCTCATCTCCGGGCAACAGCAGCCGTCAGGGCACCTGCTGACCACCCAACCTGTCCACCCAGCCGTGCAGGGCACCCACTGACCACCCGAACTGTCCACCCAGCCGTGCAGGGCACCCACTGACCACCCAACCTGTCCACCCAGCCATGCAGGGCACCCACTGACCACCCAACCTGTCCACCCAGCCATATAGGGCACCCACTGACCACCCAACCAGTCTACCCAGCCATGCAGGGCACCCGCCGACCACCCAACCTGTCCACCCCAGCCGTGCAGGGCACCCGCCGACCACCCGACCTGTCCACCCCAGCTGTGCAGGGCACCCACTGACCACCCGAACTGTCCACCCCAGCTGTGCAGGGCACCCACTGACCACCCAACCTGTCCACCCAGCCATATAGGGCACCCACTGACCACCTGACCTGTCCACCCAGCCATGCAGGGCACCCACTGACCACCTGACCTGTCCACCCAGCCATGCAGGGCACCCACTGACCACCCAACCTGTTCACCTAGCCGTGCAGGGCACCCACTGACCACCCAACCTGTCCACCCCAGCCGTGTAGGGCACCCACTGACCACCCAACCTGTCCACCCAGCCATATAGGGCACCCACTGACCACCTGACCTGTCCACCCAGCCATGCAGGGCACCCACTGACCACCCAACCTGTCCACCCAGCCGTGCAGGGCACCCACTGACCACCCAACCTGTCCACCCAGCCGTGTAAGGCACCCACTGACCACCCAACCTGTCCACCCAGCCATGCAGGGCACCCGCTGACCACCCGCCCCCGGGCTCGGTGCCTTTTGCCAGCTCTGGGCCTGGTGTCGTCACGCAGCTACCTCAGCTTCAAGAGATGCCAGGGTTCCCTTACCCCCAGGAGTGCTCTGCCAAAGTGGTGGGCGCAGACCAGGTTTCACCACCATGCCCAGCCGGGCCAGAGAGGCCCAGAGGTGGGGCAGGTGTGGGAAGGGACACGGAGGGACCCTCCCTGGAGAGGTCTTTGATTTTTTGGGGGGGATGGCTTCTTGGGTCACACCCAGCAATGCTTAGGGGTTGCTCCTGACTCTCGGGGGACTATATGGGATGCCAGGGACCAAACCCGGTCAGCCTCGTGTGAGGCAAACACCCTGCCTGTGTACTATTACTCCGGCCCCGAGAGGCTTTTGTTTGTTTTTTGGGTCACACCCGGCAATACACAGGGGTTCCTCCTTTACCTTTACCTATATATATACATACATCAAGGAGGACTGGATGACAACAGGTGGTGAACTGAATGCTTCTTGAGGGGAAAACCTCACTAATCCAGGAATCGACTGTTAAAGATCTATAGAGCTGAAGGCAGCTGGGATAGAGAAGGGATCACTACATAAAGTAACAAAATAGGAGACCAACATCCTAGAATAGCCAGGGTAAGTACCAGGAGTTTTGATCCATGGCTTGGAGGCCAGCCACACACGCCAGGGGAAAAGGCAGCCCAGATAGAGAAGGGAGCACCAAGTAAAGGGTGATGGGAGGATCCTCCCAAGATGGGAGACGTGTGCTGAGAGTAGACTCTAGACCGAACATGACTGCCACTCAAGGCCTCTTCTGCAACCCACAGAGCCCAAAAGGAGAGAGAGAACAAAAGGGAATGCCCTGCCACAGAGGAGGGGTGGGATGGGGGGATGGGGGGTGGGAGGGATACTGGGATCAGTGCTGGTGCAGAATGGGCACTGGTGGAGGGATGGGTACTTGATCATTGTATAACTGAAGCCCAAGCACAAAAATTTGTAAGTCTACAACTGTACCTCATGGTGTTTCACTAATAAAAATCTAAATTAAAAAAAGAGAAGGGATCACTAAGAAAACAATGGTTGGAGGAATCAGTTGGGACGGGAGATGTTGCTGAAAGTAGTGATGGAGCAGACATGACGGCCTCTCAGCGTCTGTATTGCAGACCATAATGCCCAGCAGTAGAGAGTGTATGGGGAATACTGTCTTCCATGGAGGCAGAGGGAGGGTGGGAAAGGGGGATACACTGGGGATACTGGTGGTGGGGAATGTGCACTGGTGGAGGGATGGGTGTTTGATCATTGTGTGGTTGTAACCCAAACATGAAAGCTTGTAACTATCTCATGGTGATCCAATAAAATAAAATAAAAAGTTTAAAAAAATCTGCAGACTGGGGCTGGAGAGATAGCACAGCGGGTAGGGCATTTGCCTTGCATGCAGCCGACCCAGGTTCAAGTCCCAGCATCCCACATGGTGCCCTGAGCATGGCCAGGAGTGACTCCTGAGTGCAGAGCCAGGAGTAACCCCTGTGCATCGCTGGGTGTGACCCAAAAAGCAAAAAAAAAAAAAAAAAAAATCTGCAGAACTGAGCTTTCATAGTGAAGAGTTGGGGGTGGCAGGTATTTGAAGAGGGGGACCCTAAAACAGGTGGAGGGAAGCAGACACTCAGGTGGAGGGGGTGGAGTTGGGATGGTATACTCGTGGATATATTGTCAGTCACGGTTTGCACATGTTTCCAATCACTGACTGAACGCGTCAGTCGGTTCACCTCCCAACGGGGCCTCCCTTGCTGGGCTCTGCTCGCAGGCTGCGTCTCCTGAGGGTCCATCTCCTGCCTATGAGCTTACAGACGGCTGGGACTAAGCAAGGCTCCTTGGGGCTGGAGCGACAGCACAGCGGGGAGGGCGTTTGCCTTGCACGTGGCTGACCCTGGCCCGATCCCCAGCATCCCATAGGATCCCCCGAGCACCGCCAGGAGTAACTCCTGTGCATCGCCGGTTGTGACCCAAAAAGCAAAAAAAAAAAAAGTTAAGGTTCGGGGGCTGGAGCGATAGCACAGCGGGGAGGGCGTTTGCCTTGCATGCGACCCACCTGGGTTCGAGTCCTAGCATCCCATAGGGTCCCCTGAGCACCGCCAGGAGTAATTCCCGAGTGCATGAGCCAGGACTAACTCCTGAGCATCACCAGGTGTGTCCCAAAAAGAAAAAAAAAAAAAGAAAGAAACAAGGCTCCTGGCCCTTCTCCTGGTGACAGCTAGAGGACCCGCGTCCCCAGGACGCCTCAGGAGGCAGCTGGAAACGGAACTAAGAAGGGCTTGTTCCCTGCCACCAGGCAGGCAGCACGAGACGCCTCTTCATTCTGGAAGGACCCACGGGGCCCGCTGAGCCCTGAGATGCTTGTGTCCCCCCTCCCCCTGCCTTCCTGCCTCGATGCACCCCAGCAGGCGGGCAGGGGGACGCCCGCCTTCCTGTCCCGGGCCCAGAGCTGGCTGGCTTCCGTGCCTGCTCGGTTCCTTCTGTTTTGTGGCCGACACCTGGCTGTGCTCAGGGCTCACCCTGGGCTCTGCGCTTCGAGACCACTCCTGGCAGGGCTCAAGGACCCCAGGGAGTGCTGGGGACTGCAGCCGGGTTGGCCTTATCCCCCGTGCCGTCCCTCTCACCCCTCGGGCGTCTTTCTTCTCCCTCACCCTGCCTGTGGTGCCCTAACTCCATCCCCTTCCTCGGGACCCCCCACTTCCCAACGCTCTGGCCCCCTCGCCTGCTGCTAGGCCCCGCCGGCCCCCCCGGTCCTCGCCCGTAGCCCCTTCCAGCCCTCCTGGTCCACTCCCCATCAGGGCCTCTTACCTGTGCCAGGGGACGGGGGCAGGGGGCTCACCTAGGTCCCATCTGTGGAGAACAGAGACAGAGATGAGGCGCTGCCGCAGGGCCGGGCCGGAGAGGGGAGGGGGTGCCCGGCTGCCAAGAGCAGACCAGCAGGAGAGAGGACGAGCCACGCCACGCAGCCCACCCAGCTGCCCCTCCCTCCTCCCTCATTCAATCCCACCCGCGACAGACTGCTCAGTGCGAGGGCTCAGCCCACAGAGGCAACAGGGGCGCCCTGGATTCCTCCCACAGTGCTCCCAGCCCCGTCTGGTGTGCGCGGCTCCAGTGACCGCAGGGCCCGGGGGAGATGGGGGCAGGGAGATGGGAGGGAGAGGCGGGCAGAGGGCACGGATGTGGTGGCTTCACAGAGGGTGGCCCCAGGACCCTGGCATGAACCCTTTCCCAGGGAACGGCAGTGCTCGGCTTCTTCCTCAATCATGGGAAACTGAAAGACCAGGACAAGGCCTTGTCCCCTGGTTCACAGGCCAAGGGCAGTCACCGTGTCCCCTCCAGCAGGCAGCACGGGACCCCGAGGGGCCCAGAAGCTGTCAGGTGGGACAGACATCTGAGTCCTGAGGCCAGAGGGACGCCTTCTCCTGACAGTCCCCGCTGGGGGGAGGGGGGGTAGGAGGCAGTCGGGAGACTGGGCGGCCTCTGGGGGGAGCGCTGGCTGGACCCACCCTGCTCGGGGCATGTGCCCACCCTGCCCTGCGCTTTGGGGGGTGAAGTCTGGTAGGAAAAGGCTGCTTCGCCAAGCCCAGTGCAGTTCAGGGTTCGAAGTCCAGTCTCAGCCAGTGCCACGCGGCCCACCCAGAGACACCTGCTTTCCTGGGGACACGTCCCGTGGATGCGCCCCCACCCGTCATTGTCCCCAGGGCTGACGGACAGCACCGGTCAGCTCCAGACGGGGTCTGATGGGAGGCGGGGACGCCGTGCACGGGGCTTCTCTCCCGGCCCCTGCGGGGACAGCACCTGAAGATCTTTCTCAAGCCCCGAGGAACCCTGGAGCCAGGGGCCTCTTCCCCTCCCTGGGACTCTGCATGGGGCCAAAGGACCAGACTGACAGAAAGCACAGCTGGAAGCAGGCGCCTCTGGGGACGGTCGGGCACACGCCCTTCTTCCCTGAGTCAGCCTGGGGTCTCCGCCCCGGGATCTCTTTCTCCTATGGGCCCTGGTCTCTGAGAGAAGCTTCTGAGCTGGGCTCCTGTCTGCCTGGGGCTGTCCGGGGCTCTGAGGCCCAGCCCCTGGGCCCTGCCGCAGGGGATGTTCTTGTTCTTCCGTCCGTGCTCCAGGCTGGCAGCGCACTTGCGCCTGGGGCCAGGTTCTCTGTGCCTCGGTCCTGCTGACCTCGGGCTCTGAACACCATGAACACTGTGCACCCTGTGAACAGGTGAAGCGCTCATGTCCCCGAGCTTTGGCCGCGGGAGCTGGTTTGGACGGCAACTCCTGGGAAGAGTTCTGCACCGGTCCCCCTGCCCGGCTCCGTGCTGGCGCCTTTTGAGTTCAGAAGAGCCCGGAACCGCAGAGATATGGGGATGGCACCCAAAAGGTATACGGCGGGTGCTGAACTGGAGCAGGAAAGGAATGTCCCACCTGGGGGTGTGTGGAAGAGCATGGAGACCCTCCTCACTGGGCCATCTCAAGGGCTAGCGGGGTCCAGACTGAAATGCAAGCTGGAGAGAACTGGGAGTCCAGGAACACCAGTACAGGCTGGAGCGATAGCACAGCGGTGAGGGTGTTTGCTTGCACGTGGCCGACCCGGGTTCGATTCCCAGCATCCCACATGGTCCCTGGAGCACCGCCAGGGGCAATTCCTGAGTGCAGAGCCAGGAGTAACCCCTGTGCATCACCAGGTGTGACCCCAAAAGCAGAAAAAAAAAACACAAAACACCAATACATTGGAGCCTTCCCCACACAGTTCTTCAGAGAAATGATGAGCTCCTGGCAGTGTTTGGGGCTTTCCCCTGGCTCTGCGCTCAGGGACCACGCCTGGTGGGGCTCGGGGGGGGATCACAGAGCATGTGGGGTCCCTGGCTGCACACTAGGCAGGTGCCCTACCTGTGGTGCTCTCTCTTTGTCCCCAGGCTCCTGGCATTTTAGAATCCTGGCAACTCCCTCCCTGCCCATCTCCAATTTTGCCTTCTTTGGAAGCAAATATACACTCAGGCTGCAGAGTCAGGTTTTGTGATGCTGAGGCAACTGTCACTGTCACTGTCCTCCCGCTGGTTCATCGATTTGCTCGAGCGGGCCCAGTACTGTCTCCATTGTGAGACTTGTTACTGTGTTTGGCATATCAAATATGCCACGGGGAGCTTGCCAGGCTTTGCCGTGCGGGTGAATACTCTCGGTAGCTTGCCGGGCTCTCTGAGAGGGATGGAGGAATCGAACTCGGGTCGTCTGAGTGCAATTCAAACGCCCTACCAGCTGTGCTACTGCTCCAGCCCCACATAAAAAGTATTATTCCTTGGGGGTATGGTGCCACCAGCAGGCCAATCTCTACCTGTGAGGCGAGTGCATCAGCAGCCTGGTGGCGCCTTCAGACTTCCAGATACCCCCAAATTGCTGCTGTGCCTTTGGCCAGACCCCAAAAACTTTGGGCAGAGTTTACCAAGAAAGTAAACTGCCAAATGTTAGGTATGTGGGAGACACACCCACAAACCACCTCGGCTCAGCTATTTCCTGACCAAACTGCTTAACGGCCATGATCCCAGAGACTCAGAAACAAATCTCGGAACCCAGCAGCTTTTGGCAGAAATGCGTCTGGTCCCTGCAGTAGGGTCCGGCGCCGGGCCACCCCAGGGGGGAATAGGTTTTGTGCCTTGGCCTGTTCCCTCTGGTGGCTCGGTGGCCACCATCCTCCAGAGGCCACTGGACAATCAAGTTTGGGCCCACAGTGATGAGACAGGCAGGGCCTCACGGGATGGGGGTGGAGCAGGCCCTTTCCTTCCTGCCCCAACGAGACCCAGGGTCGCCACCCACAAACAGCCTCTCTGGCTCCTGATCAAGCTGCTTAACGGCCATGATCCCAGAGACTCAGAAACAAATCTCGAAACCCAGCGGCTTTTGGCAGAAATGTGTCCGGTCCCTGCAGTAGGTTTACAGGCGCTGGGTCACCCCAGGTGGGAACAGGTTTCATGTGTTGGCCTGTTTCCCCTAGACAATTTCAAACACACAGCACCTGGTTTCACTCAGAACCGAGGGGCCCCCATGGGTCTACACTGGTCCTGGATGACCACCAGAGCAGACACAAATGTCACTTTTCTACCCCATGCCCCAGACCTCATTGTCAAGATGGGGCTGGGGAGTACCCTGACTAGGCCTGCTACACGCCCCCACCCCAGGGGTTGTAGCCCCAGGTAGGAAAGCGGCACCCAGAAGCTCCCTCCTGCGCCTCTGACGCCTTTTTGTTTGTTTTCCACTGGGGAGCCACAATGGATGATGATCAGCGGGTTACTCCTGGCAGTGTTTGGGGGACCACGTAGTTTGCCGGGATTGAACCCGGGTCAGCGGTGTGCGAGGCCAACGCCCTCCCTGCTGTGCTATTGCTCTGGCCTCTCTGGTGACTTTTCCCCGGCTCTTCCGTCCACACAGCCTCGCCGCCTGAGCAGCTGGGGAAGGAGCACTGGCATCAGGGCGCCGGGCTTGCCTGGAGGCTGACCCTGCTCACAGCCCAGGCTCCCCACTTCCCTGAGGCCCGGACAAAGATTTCCCCCGAGTGGGGGGTGTGGGGGCTGGCAGGCCGGCCAAAAGCTGGGAGTGAAATGGCTTCAGGAAGATCCCAGGGTAAACAAACACAAAAGAGAACATCGTGACTGCTGGGCCCGAGGGCAGAGCAGGGGGGAGGGGAGCAGGCGTTCGGGGCCCCAGGTGATGGAGAAGGGGCGCAGGGCTCATTCAGACGCCCTCTCCGGCCCCAGAGAAGGGGTGGGTAAGGGGGGCGTGAGGTCACCATCACCCTGCAGGTCGGCCATGGAGGCAGGCCTGGACCTCACAGGCCTCCTAGAAACCACTTCTCGCTATTACTCCTCTTGTTCATTTTCTCGGCACATCGGCCGCTTCCTTGTTCAGATTTTTCCAGAACCCAAGAGTCTGCAGCCTGGCGGGGAGCCTCCTGGCATGCAGTGAGCGGTGTTAAAAAAAATGAGGGGTCTTGGGGGCTGGAGCGATAACACAGCGGGGAGGGCGTTTGCCTTGCAGGTGGCCGACCCGAGTTCGATTCCCAGCATCCCATAGGGTCCCCCCCCCCCCCCCGAGCACCGCCAGGAGCAATTCCAGAGTGCAGAGCCAGGAGGAGCCCCTGAGCATCGCCGGGTGTGACCCAAAAAGAGAAAAAAAAAGTGAGGGGTCCATGACGTATGGTGGACTCTGAGGGCCACTGGACCCGGGGAAAGCACTGCCTCAGTGACCAGCAGGGACAGGAGAGATAGGCCCGACCTCGGGTGGCCGCTCTGAAGCAAGTGGGAAGAACATCTCCTCGGGCACTGGAGATGAGCACAGGTGGCCGCCTGCAGGCCTGCTTGGGCCCAGCACCGCCTGGTCTCAGAGCACCACTGGGGATTTGCCCCCGTAAAGAGCATCTTTTGGGGCGTCTGAACAGGGCGGCAGCGCTGGCTGCAAGCACTGCTCTGCCTGGCAAGGGCTGTGGTCCGCCCCTCCAGCTCTGCGGGTGGCCCTGCCCCCAGCGCCACAGCCCCCGCGTTTGTGATCCTCCGTGTACGGCCAGGAGTGTGCAAGCGTCACACCCTCCCTCCCACACCCAGTCCACTTCCTGCAGGACGCATTCCTTGACCCTGTCTCCGAGACTTCTGTAAACTAACAAAAGCTAGTTTACTGCTTGCCAGGGATCACCACTAATCCCCCTCGCCCTCATGACAGGCCAATGAATCACCCACCAACCAGCGGCTCCTCCCTGGATCCCCCATTCTGCAGATCTGGAGACCGAGGCCCAGCCGCATCAAACACCTTGTCTAAAGTCACGAAACATGGGCTGAGACTTCAGTCAGACAGCTGGGCTCTAGAAGGTTCTCCAGCAAGCTTCTGCACTGACCCTACTTGCACAGCCCCTCCTGGGGGGTGGTCAGGGTGCCACCCAGTGTGGTCCCTTCGCCCTTGGCCCCATGGAGGCAGCCCTGGAGAATCACAGAGAGCAGCTGTGGGCCTGGGAGACCTGAGGGATGAACTAACTGCCTGGGCGGGCGGGGGCTTTCAGATGCCCGGCTTCCAGTGCTCTGCCTGGGGGGAGGGGCTCCCCAAATCCAGCCAGCCGCCCCGCTTCCCTGCCCTGGCGCAGAGGCTCAGCTTCCGGCTGAAGGGCCTTGGGACCGGGACTAGGGCAGCGCAGTGGAGGGTCTTGGGCCTGCAGGCTCCGGGCCTGGCCGTGCAGAGCAGGAGGGAGCCGGGGTGAGGGGCGGTGCGGAGTGCCCGTGGCCGCTATCTTTAGCTCCTGACACCTGGGTATTTCGCAGCCGCAGGATGTCCGGTTCGGAGTCTCTTTCTGGGAATCCCTCGGTGGCTGCTGTCAACAGCCCCACACAGCGGGGGCCCAGGGCCGGCCGGCCCCACCCCCTGCCACCGAGATGAATCAAACAGGAAGCAGAGGTGACCGTGGCAGCAGCGGGCGCGGCTGGGCCTCCCGGGATGGAAAGGCGGCCGCTGGCCCCCGGGGTCACCGGGAGGAGGAAGGGCCTTTCTGAGCGGCGGGCAGGCCAGGGGTTCCCGGACGACGGCTGCCCTCTGGGGGAGAGAAGCAGGTGTCTCCCTGCCGACTATGGCCAGGCCGGCTGTGCCCGCTGCCACCCTGCAGGAGGGCAGAGCCCCGGCTCGGCGACAAGGGTGGCGGCCCGAGTGGCACCCCTGGCATCCACTTCCTGTCGCACGGTCTTCTCCCTGGGGCAGCCCTGCCCTTCCCATCCAGGGAACTCCCGGACAGACAGGCCCGCTCCACACACACACACACTTGCACACACTCACACTCATACACTCACACACACTCATGCACACGCATAAACACCCTCTCTCATGCACATACTCATACACACTCACAGACACACTCACACACACGCTCATGCACACACGCTCATGCACACACGCTCATGCACACCCCCCCCCCCCCACCCCACGCGCACACAGGCCGCGGCGGCGTCTCTCCCGGCTCGCCCCCACTCACCCTCAGCCCCGGCTCCAGCGGCTCAGCCCCGGCGGGGGCACCGGGCACCGGGGCACACGGCGCCCCCGCGGCCCGACCCCCTCCCCGGCAGGGGCGCCGCGGCTGGCGCGGGTCGGACGGGACCTGCGGCGGGACCTGCGGCGGCGGCGGGCGGGACCTGCGGCGGCGGGCGGGCGGGACCTGCGGCGGCGGGCGGGCCGGCCCCTCCGCATCTTCCTGCCGGCCGCGCCCCGCCCCGCCCCGCCCCGCGGCTCCGCTCGGCCGGCGCAGCCTCGACCCGGCCCGGCCCGGGCTCTTTCTCAAGGGCCCGACAGGAAGCCCCGCCCCGCCCGGCCCAGCCCGCCCCGCCCCCCCCCCCGCCCGCCCGCCAGCCTCGGGTCTGCCCCCGGCCACTGCCCACCCTCACCTGGGCCGTCCAGCCCCCCTCCTGGGCCCCCCCAGGCCCCCTCACCTGGGTCACACCCCCCCACCTGGGCCCCCCCAGGCGCCCCCCTCACCTGGGCCCCCCCAGGCCCCCTCTCACCTGGGTCCCCCAGACCCCCTCACCTGGGTCACACCCCCACCTGGGCCCCCCCAGCCCCCCAGACTGCAGGGAAAGGTGGGCACGGCACAATCCAGCACTAAGACGGGCCGGCACCGAGCCTCGGGTCGCTGCAGGCATGGCACTGCCCGGGTCTCACAGACTGAGGCCTGGAGGGGCCAAGGCTGGGCCACGGTCACACCGAGGCCTGGTGGGGCCTCCAGGTTCCCGAACTCAGGGGGCCCTTTTCAGAGCGCACCCCCACCTGCACCCCGGGCTCCCACTGCCCGCACCCAAGGGGCACAGCAGCACCCTCTCTAGGAACCCAGAGCCACCCTCTGGGGTGGAGGGCCGACCCCTGGAGGGGCCCGTGCCCACCCAGAGACTAGACGGGAGCCATGTGCTCTGCTGTGCCCACCCCGGAGGCTCCCAGCGCTTGGTGCTCCCCTCCGACTGTCCAGCCTCCAAAATGTCCCTGTTATCACTTTATTGCTTCCTGTCCGCGGCCTCCAGCCCGGTGTAGCTAAACAAGGAAACCTCCAGGGCTGCCCCAGGACCAAGCACGGCCTGAAAGCCCTCTGGAAACTGTTGGGCCACGTCTGAACCAGGTTGCATAACAGGCAGTCACCCCGAGCAGCTGCAGGGCCCAAGGTGCCCTCCACCCTCACTCCTTCTCTCTCCCTCTCCTCTCCCTCCTCTCCCTCCCTCCCTCCCTCCCGGTCCCCCCCCCCCCCAGCCCGGTCTCTCACAAGGTCAGGCATCCCAAAGATAATGGTCCTGAGCGCCCCGGGGGAGGCAGGGGCCACTGTGTAGAGCACCCTCCCATCCCCGCCCTTTCCTGCCCAACTCCATGGCCCAGAGGGGCAGCCCAGAGAGGCTTGTGACTGGCAGGAAGTCAGGAATGCCGCATTAATATCAGTCACAAGAACGACCCCCAAGCCCCCCATTCCCGCTGTGTCTTGCCCCCCCCTCCCCAAACACACACACTTTCCCTGCTGTTTCTGAAACATGGCAGAGGTCCATCAGGCGTATCTGCTGGGGGGGGGGGGGGGGCAGAGCTTGCTTTTTTTGCAGCCAGGTTCTCACCAGCTCACCAGTCCAGCCCGGGTGTTAACACCGCCTCCAGGGAGCCGAAGGCCAGATGCAAGCTCCCGGGTGCCAATCTGAACAGAGCAGCTGTGAAGGCAATTATTCGCCAACTGGGGAAAAAAATTTTTTTTTGCCACACCCAGTGGAGGTGCTCAGGGCTTCCTCCTGGCTCTGTGTTCAGGGAGGAACACTCCCGGCAGAGCTCGGAAATCACGGAATCATATACGGAACGGAACCAGGTTGGCGGCATGCTGGGTAAGAGCCTGGTCTCCTGGGCCTGCAACTGGGAATGCGAGGAGATGAAACTCACTGCCGAAGGAGGTGGACAGGGCCATCCCAAGAGAGAGACATGCACGGAGTGTGACCCTATCTTGGTGAACAGCCCCACACAGAACGAAGGCACGAGGGGGCTTGGGGAGGCAGCTCCACAGAGCGTGCGCAAGGCCTTTTGCTCATTTCTGGTCCTGAGCCACCACACCCAGCAATGCTCAGGGGTCCCTCCTGGCTCTGCACTCAGGAATTACTCCTGGCGGTGCTCAGGGCACCGTGTGGGATGCCGGGAATCAACCGGGTCAGCTATGTACAAAGCAAGCGCCCTTCCTGCACTGTTATCTCTCACTATCTCCAGCATACGCAAAGCCTTGAATTCGATCCCTAGGACTGAGCCCCTCGACTTTTAATAGGGGTTCCGTCCCTATTAAAAAAAAGACTAACAGGGCCCAGAAAGACACTGATTCCATCTCCGGCACCACCTACAGCCCCTTGAGCACTGCCAAGAGTGAGCCCTGAGCACAGAGGCAGGAGTAAGCCCTGAAGACAACCTTTTGTGGCCCCCAAACCAAACCCACAAAGACAGAGAATAAGATGATGTGCGTGACGGTCCTGGGTGGCGATCTCTGCTTGCCCGTCTAGCCTGGTTACCTTGCAATGCCCATGCGTTGCCTGGGTGACAATGACACAGACTCTCTGTGCAACATGCAGAAGGGCGGCGCGGCCGAGGGCCCATGAAGCCGAGAGGCACCTGCCCGGCTTCCGTGAGAACAAGGCCCTCGTGGACGCCACCAGCATACGCTTGGCTCTCATGCCCTCTGACAAGCCACAAGCCCGAGTCCTTCCCTCTCCCGTGGCACCCAGGGCCCGGCCTGCCGGTGCCGGTGCCGCTGTCAGGACTGACTTCACGAACGCTTGCGAGCCAAATACTTGTCTTTTCCTGCAAGCGACACCCTCCTGCCACTTGCAGGCCCTCAGTGCCGGGAGGCTGCTGACAGCCCTGACCTTCCCTGGCCTGCCCTGCCTCCTGCGGCTTTTAAGAGCTGCCAGGAGGGGCTGAGATAAAGGTCACTCGGCAGATGCCAGGCAAGGTGTTCCACTGTGGGCCGGCCGGGCAGGCCTGCTCCAGACCGTCCCCAGCGCCAGCTGGCGGGGATGGCTCGGGGCCACCCAGCGTCCTGCTGCGTGGGCGGAGGCTGAGGGTGGTGGTGGGAAAGAAGAGGGTGGGGTCCACCCCGAGAGTCCTGGTGGGAGCATCTGGACGCGCGGCACTGGCCTGGTTTCCCTCTGTGAGCTGGGGCTGGGCCCAGTTTCTGCTCTGCGCCTTTCCCATTCCCTATCCCTGACCTTCAGAAATCTGCACGATCCCATTAATAATGATGACAAATATTCTGCGAGCACTGACTTCAGAGCTGGCACGGGGCGCGGGGGGGGGGGGGGGGGGGGGGGCGGGGCGCTGGACCGACTTTCCTCTCTAGAGCCACCGACTAACTCCAGGAGGTGGAAAGGATCCGTTTTCGCACTGCTGAGAAACAGGCGCAGCGAGCGAACGAGTGAGGCTCCCTCAGGGTGACACGGAGTTGCTGGCGAAAGAAAGGAGACCCTGCCAAGGGCGACACAGACGTCGCCCCCATCCCACCCGCCCTGGACTTTGCCATGGGCACAGTGGGGTCGAAGACGGTGATTCATGCCTGCAGCCCTCTCCAGAATCCCCGATGTTTACATGTGCACACAAGAAAAATCCCCTCTTGAGGGAGGAGGAAGCCACGACCTCAGAGGCCCGACGGAGCCGTGCTGCTGGGGGCTGACGCGGGCTGACACCCACCACCGCTCGGCGTGTGACAGATGGCCCTGCCACCCCAGGATGGCCCTGCAGGCCAGCAGGAGGGCGAGGTGCGGCCTCCTCAGCTCCAGGCCCTGCAGCCGAGGCCCGCGGCCAGCCCCTGCCCGTGGGGCGGGGTCCCGTGCCAGCACCCATCGTCTGGCCGGGACTCACGCCCGCCCCCGCCGGGACCCAGGGGCAGCAGCGGCTGCTGTGGGCAAACACTGCCCGCCGCCCCGCCCCCAGCTCCCCGCCCCCACACTTGCTAACTGAAACCGGCTGCTGCTATTTTTAACCCTCCAGCTCCCCGGCCTGGGGCTCCCCCCTCCCCACCCCCGTCCCAAAACGGGTGCCACCCGCCTGTCACGCTGAGAGCAGTTCCACAACCTCAACGTCCCGTCCCGGAGGGCACAGCGGATGCCCCTGCAGGTTTGTGGGGCAAGAAAACAAGCCCGTTCGCGCGCCACGGCCGAACTCCCCGCCACCCAGACCTCGGTCTGAGCTGCCGCCCGGCATCCTGCAGGGCCTGCAGGGTCTCCTGGAGAGTGGGGGACCCCGGGGGGGAGGCAAGACCCTCCCTGCCCGCTCCAGTCTCTGTCGGCCAGGGTTCCAGTCCCTGCAGGTGGGAAGAGGGTGAGCCGGGAGTTCCTCCGGGAAGCCCCCACCCGTCCCGTCCAGCCCAGGCCCGGCAGGAGCACATGTGGGCCCCGGAAGTGCAGGCTGGCCTGTGGGCTGGCTGGGGTGCGTGTGCAGCCGTGCGTGCATGCGTGTGCAGGGTGTGCACGCACAGGGAGAAGCCTTGGCTCCCGCTGGGAGCTTTCCTAGTGCTCAGCTGCTCTGGGTCCCCGCGGGAAAGACCGACGACACGCGGGGAGGGGGGCCACGGAGGGGGAGGGAGTTGGCCACGCTCCCCAAGCAGCTCAGAAGTGCTCGAGTGCTCTCTTCCAGATGGCAGCTGTCCCTGGGGGTGTCCCCCAGATCGGGGAGCACATCCCAAGAGCCCAGGGGAGGCTCTCGAGCCAGCCAAGGTGCCCTCCTCCTCACCTCTCCTGTCCTCTCTGGTTCCTGCCAACCCCTCTTCCAGGACCCCAGGACCCTCTCTGCAAGCCGGGCTCCCGGCTCTTCCTCAGCGATTTCCCCAGCCAGGTAAAGAAGCCCCAGCGCCCCCCTCCAGGAGCTGGGGGAGCCGAGAGGGAGGGGGTGAGGCAGGAGGCCAGGCGGGGGCGGAGGCATGGAGCGCTCCTGGGGAAGGCTCTGACCTGCCCCCAAACTAACCCGGCCAGGCCCGAGATCCCGATCCCGTCCCTCATCCCCAGGCAGGCAGAGGGGCCGGCTCAGACTGGCCCCGTCCGGCCTCCCGGCTCCCCGGCTCCCCCTGCCATGGGCCGGGCCGCTTCTAGAGGGGCAGAGACCCGCCGACTTCTGCGCCAGGCAAGAGCCAAGCAGTTCCCCTCCAGTGGGCAGACGGGGCCTGTGCCTGGCTGGGGGCGGCTCCCAAGCAGGACTCGGAGGGGACCCTTCCAGGCTGGGCGGGTGAGAAAAAGTCCCAGTAGCACCTGCTCAGTCAGACACTCACCCCCAAGGAAGTCCTCCCTTGTTTTTCTCTGTTGCTGCGCCCACTTTTTTTTCCTTCTTAAGGCTTATCGCCGTGTGTAACCAGATATATAAATACACACACACACACACACACACACACACACACACACTTCTTTCCTTGCTCACTTGTCACTGTTGGCGCCACTCGAGTGGAAGCTCCCTGAGGTCAGACGTGCTACTGTTGACCTGGGCCTGGCGCCTGGCACCCACCAAGGCGTGCTCACAGCCGGGAAAGGAGAAAGAGCGGCATGTCGGGCTCTGGGAAGGGCCTTCTGACCGCCAAGGCCATCCTGAGGGTTGACACCTGATGGTTCTGGGACTTCCCTCCCCCGCCCCCCAGAGAGGAAAGTGGCATGCAACAGGGTCTGAAAACCGGGACCCTCGGGGGCAACACCAAGACCCCGTCCATTCGCGTGCTCGGTGCTTCCCTCACGCCGGCCGGGTCACAGGCACACAAAGACCCTCGGAACGGCTCCAGCTCTGTCCTGCTGCCGGCTGCCGGCCCTGCAGCCACGGGCCCTGTGGGGGTCTCCCCTTGCTCGAAATCAAACGTGAAGCGCGTGGCCCCATCCATGGGGGCCGAATATGGCTCCGTCTCAGAACCACCCGGGGCACAGGTGGAATCCGAGGTGCCACCCTGCAGATTCCGAGGGGCCTGCAGCCTTCACACTCCTCCAGGTGCGCCCAAGGCAGAGGCCCCAGAGAGGACCGGCTCTTTCCAGCTGACATCTGGGGCGACTCCTCCCAGGCAGCCAAACGCCCGCGGTTAAGGGGCTCACCTCCCTGCATGCATCTCCACACCCGACCCCCGCGCCCCGAGCCAGCACACAGTCAGCCACAGACAGCCCGAGGGTGCTCTTCCCACGCTGGCCCCCACTGAAGACTCGCTCCCGCAGGGACTGTCTCGGGGACCCCCGCCCAGGCCCCGAGACGCTGCACTGGCATCGGCCCGGGCTCACCTCCACAGCCTGCTCCAGCGCCCCAGCAGGGAGGCCCAGGAGGAGGAGAAGAGCCAAGTTTTCTCCAAAGCCCTCCGCAGCCCAAGGGAAGAAGTGCCCAGAGCCTTCACCCAGCACCCCCCGCCCCCCATCAGCCATCCCCCAGCCCCCTCACCTAAACTCTCCTGGCTTGGGCCAAAAGGGCTCCAGAGGGGGAGGGGACAGCCAGGAACTCCTCCTAGTGCCCAGGCCTCTAAGGAAGGGGCTGTCTGGGGGCGCCTTCCTGCAGCCTGGAGGTCTGGGCTCCCCGGGGAAGGTTTCCACAGAAACGGGGGGGAAACATTACAGGGAAACACAATACCCGGCAGGGTCACCTGCTGACCAGGCTTCCTGCTGTGTTGCCCACTGCCCCCTGGCCCCATCGACTCATGGTCCTCATTGGCCTCCT